TCTCGAGAATATAAACAAAAATAAAGAGCACTGTGGAACAACCAATCAATTTGAATCTACAATTGACGTTAACAAAGCTATTCATATACGTAGAGTAATTAAAAGTCATATGTCTTATATTTCATTCATGTTCTGTTCTTAATATGGTCCGTGATGACTGCACTTTTGTAGAGTTGCCGTCTATTCTGTAAGGTAAGTCCTTTTTCAGAAGGATTGCAACAGAACAGAATATGGTGAACAATAACGATAGATGTGGATTAAAACATATGGATAAAAGTGCAAATATACGTATAAAACTGTTGTAGATCATGAATTGTGGAATTATTTTCATTTATATTTGTGAATATTTACATTCTTTTTTGTGAGAACATGTGCTTTTTCTTTCTGTATCACTACTTCATTTTTTTCGTTCCAATATTTCATGTATCTTACCTATTGTTATATTAGTTAGCCATAATTTCAATCCTTTTTTAAATCTGTTATTACTTGTAATAGACTTTATTTCAAATGGAACTTCTGCATAGGCAATAGGGCACAAGTATGTGAGAAATTTTTGACTTCGAGGTGTGCTTACTTTAGGAATCCTTGACTTTTTTTGCTTGAATTTGGTATCGTGGTATTCGCAACATATTCTGCGTGCTTATTCCATCTTTCATTTTTATCCATTATTATGCCAAGATATTATACCTATATGTTATTTCGTATTTATAGTCATTGTGTCATTGTCATTATGGATTTCCAAGGAAGTATACTTTGGCAAGTTGTTGCTGAAATAAGTGAAAGGTACAGAGATAGTTTTTTTTTGTATTAATTGTCAGCAACCTGCTTTCAAACCAACTGACAATTTTTATTAAATTTCCTTGAACCTTGTCCTTTAATTCTTTCCAAGTATCAGCGCGACATAGTACGGCTGTGTCATAAGCGAAACTAATAATGGTACCTTCTGAATTGACCCTGAACAAATCATTAAAGTAGATATTGAATAGGAGAAGTCCCCATTACCGTTTCTTGGGGGACTCTATATTCTATGGTACAGTAAGAACTAAGTGTTTCATTTATTTTGACGCACTGTTTCCTATCAGGGAGACAGCTTTCAAATAATTTCAGCGATGTCCCTCTGAAACCGATGTTTTCCATTACCTTTATCAATTTCTTATGTGAAATGGTACCAAAAGGCCAGATCAACAAAGACACAAAGACATGGTTTACCATTATCCATCGAATCGTAAATTTCTCTCATTAGGTGAATCATTGCATCTTGTGTTGAACTGGCCTCTCGGAATCCGTATTGATTGTCAGAGAGTATTTTATATTTTTTCAAATATTTATCTATTCTTACTTTCAATATTTTCTCAAATATTTTAGCTATATGACTGATTAATGATATGGGACGAAAATTAATTACCTCATTTTTATTTCCGGATTTAAATATTGGTTTGATTATCGAAGTTTTAAAGGCTTCTGGAAAACTACCGGTGTTCATGGCTCTATTTATAATATGGGTAATTGGTTTAGCTAGGTAATCAACGAATTCTATAAGAGTTTCAGACCTGATGTTATCAAGACCTGGTGATTTACCTTTATTCAGATTATTAATTACATTTTTAACTTCATGTTCATTGGTGTCTTCTAAGAAGAATGAGTTGGATATTGTTTTCTCTACAATTTTGGTTTCTTGCTGACTGATGGATCCGGCCAACTTTCCTCCAATGCTTGAGTAGTGTGATAAAAAATATTCAGCAATTTCNGTAACATCTATTCCTCCTAGAGGATTAAATTATGAGGGTTGAAAATATTCATTGAAAGTGTCCTCCTTGAAAATAAAATTTATCTGTCTTTCCAATTTTCCATTATATGTACTGGAAGGGAGATATTAGGGGTGATATGTTTTCAAATTGACCTCCTGTATAGTGTACGATATGAGGAAATTCGCACAACTCCAATTTACGAACAAATTATACCCAATGGTAACAACCTGTTCTCAATTCACAGTCGAATATTTTTTCCATCAAACATCAAAGGGCAGTGTCGATATATTTTAATCACGGTCGCCGTATTTGCTTTTCAACTCCGAAGGTATGCTTAACCATTAGAAAATGATTGGGTCAACTCTTCACGTGCTTTTTACTTGAAACGAATTGGATATACTGATGGAATTTTTTTATTAGCAACATTCCCTTTTTTGATGGAGATTATATACTTTTATAATCATGAATTGTAGACATGATATAATATGGACTGTCCGTGACGACGTCATCATATATTCCACCTGCGGATCACACAACGTCTTGGCCACTGCATCATATCTTCATGTGACAAAGTTCCAACATTTTCTCAATGGAAATATACAACACGTAGAACATTGTGACGTTGTATCTGACGTTAAATGTATGAGTGACGTAAATGCCAGGACGTGAATCCCTTCATCTTTTTTTAGTTTTTGGAGTCAATGTTATCTCTTTAATCGTCAGTCCATATTATAACGTCAGTAGCGTGTAACTAAGACGAACATCAAATTTTTTCAGGTATTTTTGATGTGAAACCTCCAGGGCTCATTCAATTCGAAATGACCTCTATCAACTTTTTGAAAAATTTCGAGAGGGTCTCGAAAAAATTGCAAAAGTTATAAACAATTTAGTAAAAAAAGGAGGGGTTTGGTTGTTTGCAAATATCTCGGAAAACATTGAAGATATCCCAAATTTGAAAAGAGATCCTTAAAAAGGAGGTAATTTCCTAAAAAAACGCTTACCTCCTGGAACTTTATCGCCAATATTTATGATTTTAGTTTAGAGGCGAAAATAACGCTAAAAGCGGGCGATGCATTCCGCACGCACTGACCGATACAATAAACATTATTTCAACCCATTAAATATCATTATTGAGAAAAAAAATCACTTACCTTCTACACAAACATTTTTTCCTTTGATTATTTTATTAGATATATAGTTAAATAACTAATTTTTACAAGTTTTAAATTCACATAAAAACCCTGATAATCTTTAAACTAAAAACCTNCCCCCCTTTTTTACTAAATTGTTTATAGCTTTTGCAATTTTTTTCGGTCCCTCTTGAAATTTTTCAAAAGTTGCTAGAGGTCATTCCGAATCGAATGAGCCCTGGATCATGATTTTCGGTGCCCTTGGACAGAAGTTCCAAAAAAAAAAAGATCATGTGACCCCGACTAATAAGCGGTATTCTATATTTGTGACTCAAAGCTATGTCTCTGATGATTTTTTTTTTCATTATTTTATTATGCCATTTTTCATATATCTTCTTCCAAAATCTAACATTGTGTAATTTTAGAGGAATATTTACGTTTAGAGAAGTATTGATGGAATTATGGGAACTGCCTGTCAATTGAATCGGTTATCATAAAATTTTATTTCACACTGTTCAACTTATATCATTCGATAACCGATATCATTAGCCAACAAAGAGGTTAATTTTCAATTCAAACATTTCGCCCAATAACGATCCATATACCTAATTTTAATATTTCAATTTCAATCAATTCTCAGTTATTCATATCTTCAATATAAATCGTATCCTCTGAAATAAAAGGTAGAACTGAAACCTCAGGCCTAAAATAAATCCAAAAATAGTACTGCTACCAAACAATAGAAATACAACAGACTTTTCGACCCGCATCCCACCAACCAAGTTGGCGTCGTTAGGAAATGAACCAGGCCAATCCCTAACTTCAAACTTCAACTATTTATATTCACTGCCAGTTTTATTTGGTGACACTAGACATGTGCTGCATGTTCTTTGAAAGAGTTCCGACAGATCGCTTAGTCTGACCGATATATTTATGCATTGTGAGAAGGGTGTTGCAGTTCTGGTTTGTGAAAACAGTGTTTGATTTATTCTACCTCGAATAATTGAAGTTGAAATTGATATCCATTTTCAGAAAGCAACAAATTTCAATATAAAGCTACAAGAAAATTGAGGTTTTGAAAATTAAACAAATTGAGAATCTTACATCTTATAATTTCAATTGCTTCTGTCAATCTCACTTGAAGAGGACAGTAAAAGAATTTTTCCAATGATTAATTGAATACGGCAATTCTTCTGAGAAGTTTAATTCACGAGTATATACCAGAATATGTTTCTCTAACATTATTCCGAGTCGTAAATCAGTCCTATCCTGAATTTTCCAAGTTATCGTGTAGTGGAAGTTTTCGCTGTTTTGTGAAATTCTTGCGGAAGGCATACACGCTTCCCAAAACAAATTGTACTCGCCCTTCTTGGGTATGATTTATAGGTTAGATAGGCCACTGTATGGGACAACAGTAGTGCAACTCGGGATATTTCGGAGCGGTATTTTATAGTGGCAACTCAACACTGAGGCTTTATCTAACATCGAAAACAAAAGGATCAGCGCTGTTGCTAATGAAGGTTTTGTGATATACCACACAGCAAAGATGTTCCATGTTTCACGCTTCGAACAATACCTTATCAAGCGGCATTGTTTTCATAGTCTAAGAGCTTATGCAAAAAACTACAAGAGGTTTGAAATGGCCCAAATTCAAGTATCACATGAAATGTTCATGAGGAAATCACAGGGACTCTTTTGGGTATTTCTGCCATCCATTAAACCATCTGAAAAAAAAATTATGAACAAAAAATTCCAAATTGAAAGGGTTATATTTTCAGGAGGGATTAATCTTTTGAGAAAGGAAGTTTTTGGCTTTTCTACTTCTCAGTCTTCATACAAAAAGAAGTGGGATTCTTCCATAGAAAGGCAAATAGCAATTGATTCAATAATGAACTCTCAAGAAATAAGTGTAGATTATTCAAATACGGAACTTTTAGGAAAAAACTAGAAGAGAAAACCCTCTTGAAACAACTACGCCTCCATAAACATTTATTCATACGAATGAAAAAATACGTTTGAAAAAACTACTTTCATATAAACATTGAATTATACGGAAAATTATTTTTCCTATTCAGTTTGTACTCCAAACATTTGTTACCGAATTGAAACAGATATCATTAACATGAATGCTAAACAATTATATGAAAGAGGTAAAATTTCACTTACATTGAATACTGTTATCCTCAATGGCGGACATCCGATGTTTCGAAATAATACACTTGTCTCTTCAGCAGCACCAATTTGGATAACAACACAAGATGAAGCAATCAATTCATTCACAAAATTACAACTTTATGTCACGAATGAGTTTAATCTACTCTTCTCATCGATAACATTACGTAATGTAATGACATTCATTCGCTTATTTGATTTGATTCCAGCCATAGTAATCCACACAGAGATTCCATTTTTTTTATTGACATGGATAAAAATTATTCTGAACATTGATCAATATAAAATTAACTCTTTGACAAAAATCCGTTTTTGTCATGCACTGTTTGGAACCTTTGGTGTAGTAATGAATATTACTGGAGTGTTTTCCCAACAACAAACCGTTATTTTAACACCTCGACACGTGTTTCGATCACCAAGTGATCATATTCACAAGGAAGATTAATCTACCTCTTCAAGATGATCATTTGGTGATCGAAACACAAACACATTTTTACCATTTGTACAGCCAATGACCATTTTCCGTATAATTTTGCATATTTTATGAAAATTTGTATTCAGATTCTACTCACCCTGTACCTGTACCCCTGTTATGAGGAAACAAATTGATGTAGAAAGCACCTTCTTATTACCACCCCAATCGAAATTGTTATCACTACATAATTCATTTTATAAATGTATTTCAGTATGCTTTTGAAGTTTGACTGGTTTCAATTGCTTAGTTTGAAAAAAATTAACAGAAAAGACCATTTTTGTACTTTTCAAAAACTGCCTTTTTGAAATCAATGCTCAAATAGATAGTATTCGAGTAATTATGAATGCAAATCAACAAATGATTCTTTTTCACCTAAATCGCTTTTATTAGCTTCACCTGTATATATGTATGTATATTTGTTTGTCTGTTTGCTTGTAACTTTCAAGCTCAGGATCTGTATTTGACAGAATTATCGACATTATTGCCTGATCTATTCGCGGGCAGATGGCGCTGTACGTAAACTACTTGATATATCGACATTATTGATTGATTTATTCGCAGATCGTAACCTCCTTGATATAATTCAAATACACTTTACATGTATTTGCGCGCTTGCTACCTTGGGCTTGATAGATGATTTTCAGACTCCCTCTCCGGAATCGGAAAATATCAATGGTCATTTTTCTATACAATATACGACTGATTGATCCCAAAGTATAGATAAAATAAATATAGTTTAAAAAGACTAAAAACACGCTTTTATAGCATACGAAACTGAAAAATGAAAAATAAATATAGTTTAATAAACCAAAAAACACGGTTTTAAAGAATATCGAACTAAAACGTTAAAAATATTTATTTTAAATAAACTTAAAACAATAACGATCAAAAAATACTAGTATTATTGTAAAAAGCCACGGGCGCTTGATATACAAAAAATATGGCACAAAGCGCCCACGCTTTTTTCACAATAATACTAGTATTTTTCGTTCGTTATTGTTTTATGCTTATTTAAAAAAATATTTTCAACTTTTTAGTTCAATGTTCTTCAAAAGCGTGTTTTTTTGTTTTATAAATTATTTTTTTTTTCAAAACTCAGCAATTCAAGCCTGTCAAGCCTGTCTAGAACAGACACTGTTTCTTGCATTCTTCACTAAAGTCAGATGTCTATGAGAAATAACTCTTTCTGTTCAACTTATCTTTTCCAGGGTCCATTTCAAATATATTTCATCAGGTTGCATTGTGCATTGGCTTTTCGAAAACCCCTGCAAATAATGCATTTTTGATAGTTCTTCAAAATATTACGTTTATTTTTTGCAGTATGCCATTGCAAGACCAATACACTGGTATACCGACTAATAATACATATAAATTAGACCTTCAATATGACCAACTTGATTTCACTTAGACTTGATTTTTTTTATATAATGTTTTTTTTACTTTATATCACATAGTTTAGATTTCTTCAATGTGACAATGTGAATTGTAATTCTTTTCAAGAGACAATGGTCGATTAACTGTCAACAGAAAGTTAGAATAAATCTGAAACAAGGACTTTTCCCAAACACCAGAACTGCGTCACTCTTATCGTCCCAAGTTTCACCCACCAAGTTGGCGTGTTCAGGGCATGGAGAAAACTAATAAGTGCAAAACTGAATTCCGTACATGAGTATTATTTATATATACGCAATATACATTATTAGAAAAACGAATCATTAAAATCGTAGCTGATGACTTCTGAATATTGCCTGTTCTACGTATTCTTGATACGACATATTTTTGCTTCTAGTATCACAAAGGACCGATCTGTGTGAAACATTCTTCGGAACTGAATTTCTGACACTATTTACATAACCTAATATACTCAATGACACAGTTAGTTAACAAATGTCTTTTTATGATGATGCACTTGTCGTTAACTAACTGTGCCATTGAGTATATAAGGTAATGTAAATGATGTAAATATCCGTGCCGAAAAATTTTTCATACAGAGCGGTTCTTTCATACTAGGAGCAGAAATATGTCGAATCCTATAGCTACTCATATTTTAAATAACAAAATCGAGAAATATGGAGAGTCAAGAGCTGTTGCGCTTGATATTTCTAAGGCCTTTGACCGTGTATGGCATAAGGGTTTGCTAGCCAAACTTCGATGCTATAGTTTTTCAGATCATTTTTGTGTATGGCTCTCCAGCTTCCTGGGAGATCGTTTCCTCCAGGTGGCAGTCGATGGATATCTCTCGAATACTTTTATCATCAACGCTGGTGTTCACTAGAAATCCATATTGTCTCCAACCCTCTTTTTATTGTATATCAACGACTGATTGGAAAAAACAGAATCCAATATATTGCTTTGTTGACGACAGCACACTTGTCTCATCATTTCATTTGGATTCCGGGACATTGGCTGCGGATGCACATCTTCACCGGCGGCAGAAGTTTGCATATCTTAATGAAGATCCAGAGGTAGTTTCGAATTGGGGTCAATGTAATCAGGTTCAATTTAATGGTACAAGAACCCAGGCATCGGTTTTCTCCAAAAAGATACATATATCCGACTCAGTATAATAATGTCAGGACAGACAATTCTGCTTTCTGCTTCGATTAGTTTGTTGGGGGTAAAAATGGACACTAAGTCTTGGTACAATCATGTCGCTGGAATTGCAAACGCTTCTTTTCAAAAGCTCGGAACACTGTTCCAAATCAGAAAACTGTACACACCTCAGTAAATTTTGTTGCCTTATAGAGCTCAAATCCGACCTTCTTTAGAGTATTATTCACAAGTATGGAACTCCGTCCATAAGCGGAGGCAACCTTGATAGTCTGTAACATCAAAGGAAGGTTGGAGATTTGTCTCTTCTATAGAAATTTTCACGGGAAGTGTTCAAGTGACTTGGCATATTTGATTGCACCAAGAGCGGTACATAGCAGAAATACGCGACGGGCTGTGGCTGCTTATCATTCGAGATTCAACTCAGTACACCTCGTTCCAAATCAAACGTGAATCGCTACTTCCGTAGTGCTTGTGTTTTGCCCTTAAAAAAAGATGTTATACCAACATTCTGAATGATTCAGACAAGACATTGATCAAATACTTCAACAAAAATGCCTAGTGTTTATATTTCATTCTTTTCATAATGGCATATTTGTTCTGCATCATTTTTTTCTCTAACACTCTCTTTCTCGTGTGCCTGAAAAAAAAAGTTATTCTAATATGAATACATTTTTTTCTTTCAATTATTCAAAAATGATTTGATACCATCGAAATAATGTTTCAGCTTCACTAAACTAAATGGATTGTTCTATTCCAGAGTTCAAATCCAGATCGCCAACTTTCTCCGAAGATTCAGGAAAGCCATCCAGCCATATGATTGGTTCACAACAGAGACAGTTCCACACAACAGTACAACTCAAAAAGAAACCTGGAGAAACCTTGGGAATAATATTAACGTCAGGTGAGTTGACAAACAAATGTTGAAATACCTAATTTCAGTCTTCAGTATCGTTCGATTCAACTCGATCAAAATGAGGTTTGTTGGTGGAGAATTTCATTATTTCGGATTTCCATTGTCTAATATGATTCTACTATGATTCAAAACCTATGAAAGAACAGTCATAGCCAACTCTGGCCGTTAAGGAAGCTCACAAGAAGCACTGAATCTGGTTCAGAAACGTTGACAATACCTTCACCATATAGAACTATGAGAATACAGAACTATACACTTTTATGAAGCACACCAACAGCGTAAGACCTTCCATCACATTCATAATGGAGAAGAAAGTCCACAACGAATTGCCATTTTCAAACGCATCGGTAAAGAGAACCGATATCTGCATGAGAAACATCTGTATGCCGAAAATCCACCAACACGGGACAGTATCTGAATCATGAATCCAACCACCATCAATCTATCAAAAGAGGAATCATCAAAACTCTAGTAGATCATGCTTTCGGGTTCGAAAAGGAACTAGACATCATCAAAAGAGATCTTCAACAGAATGGTTACACTTTGGCTAGAAGACAGCAAGAGCCTCGCAAATACCATCCGTAGCAGCCTCACGAAAACCAGGCCACCAAATGCGGACTGAGGTTCCAAGAATTGCATTTCCCAGATACCTTGTAAGTGCGACAAATCTTATATCGGCTCAACTAAAAGGTAATTGAAAGTCTGCTTTGCCGGTCACAAGAAAAACACACAGCGTAAATGAACCAGCAAATCGAGAATAGTACAGCATGTTTGGACTCATCAACAAAACATCAAGTGGTCCCAAGCTGAGATCATCTATAGAGGGAACACTGGTTTAAGAGAAAGTTCAAAAAAGCTGCATATATGCAGCATTCAGCAAAACTAGCATAGAGACACGCAACATATGGAAATCTGTAATAAAGCGGAAAATGGTCAACTCCTGTCAAACGGTCATTTCCCGCTAAACCGGTGAAGCGGAGAGAGGGAATTGGGGAAAGGTGAAAGCGCTCGAATGACCTATAAATAGTTATCTCTCGGAGAAATGATCAAGCCATCACCCGAAGACGATTATGAATACTATCAATCGAAACGTGGTGAAGTAACTTGATTTGCGTATTTTCATTTAATTTTTTTCAATTTCTTTTTACTCTGTTGTTATTTTCATTTCAGTTTTATTGCTTAATGTGATTGATATTTCAGCTATTCATTCTAACTTCATTTGTCCTTTCATAGATTTTGAATCATAGTAGGATCATATAGAATATAGACAATAGAAGTCCGAAATAATGAAATTAATCAAAATAATGTTTCTCAGTTAGAGAACTCAGGAGTACTAATAGCTTTTGAAATGTGCCATTTAATTTCAACTAGAAAGTGTCCTCCAACTGCTTATTAATTGACAAGGAACATTTACAAGCAGTTTCGTGGGTTACTTCATGTGAAATTTTTTCCAGAAGAGCATATTCTCGTTGATGAAGATACTGAATTCAATTCATTGTTGAAGAAAATTCTTCAATTTTTGTAAAGCAATTTACATGTATTATTAATGTTGGAAATTATTACAAAACTATCCCCAAGCTAACAGAATATATTCTCACAATACACGATACAAAAAAAATTTGAAGGTGATGCTGACTGCACAAAGGTGAACAATCGGAAAATATTTCCAACCAAGTATTATTTTATGATGAATCCACCTTTACCATCCATGGTAATCGTTGGTATTATTTCAGGCACTGGATGTGAGAGGTACACATTCAGAGATCAAAACAAATATTAATGGTTGGACGAGTAATTAGATGAATCAGTTATTTGGGCTGATATTTTTAGAGAACTTGACCAGAGATACATATTATGTCTATTCAGAATATTAACAGACAGATCCCATTCATGTACTTACAATTAATTCCCTAATCTGGTTTTTACAAATATACCACATTTTTCTTTATGGTTTCAACATATTGGAGTGCCACCAAATTTAAGAGTTCCTTCAAAAGAATATTCAATTACAGAATATCCGAAAAGATGGATGAAGATCACCTAACCTCATCTCATTGGAGTGTTTGTTCCTCATAGGGTCATATCAAAAACAAGATCTACCAAAAAACCTACAAACAACGAAATTTGAAAGATAGAAGGACGTCAGCAATGAGAGAGATGGTGAAAAATATCAGAATTGAAATAGGCTCTGTTGTTGTCAATAAGTTGTATCAAAATAAAGTTATTCCAATATGAATATTTTCAAGTAAAATATGAAGAACCCAATTTTTTTCCAAGCGTAGCAGAACGAAAACTTTTTTCCAATCACAAATTCACATAAAGCCAATCTGTAGGGTGCCGTACTAAGAGATAATAAAGTTTTGTAAACAGAATATATTTTTCATCTGAATTTTCGCATCTGAAGTTTTCAATCTTCAGAAGAGAAGAGTGACATTTTCTTTGTTTTCCTTACTTATTTTTGTAGCGCCATCTCATATCAATATTGTTAAAACAACTCATTTATGCAACTCAATTATTTTGATCTGAATCTGAATTTGGGAACCAATAGATTTTCTGAGATACCGTCCCCAAATGAATACTCATTTCAACATTCAAAAAATGTTCCGGATCAATCCATACCAGCAGTAGATTGGTCATGATTCTTGAAGAATTAAACATTTATCTGGCTTTCAAAAGTACTCTTACACTCCAACAAATGTTGAGCCACTCAAAAGATAGGGTGACGAAAAGAGAACAATCTGAAATTTACGAAATGAGCTGTGAAGATTGAGACGAAAAGTATGTCAGTCAAAATAAGCACATTATCATAACTCGATTCATGGAACATGTACATTCGACTCCAAGACCGGCACATTACAACAGGTTTTTAGACGACTTTGAAATAGAAAATATGGAATGAGTTCTATAAATAGCGATAAAGATCACATTTCAAACAACCTTCTGTTCACTCTCTCACATAATGAGTAGAGTTAGGAACCAGGTAAATATTATGTACATAAAAGGTTGTCACCAACATATAAATTAGAAATTGATATATTATCACAAACTAACAGAATACTAGAAATTCATTTTTTGAATCTCATTTGATGACCCCAATTGCCTACGATGAAGTGTATATAAAAAGGCTCATCTTGGATTCAAACACTCAGCCTTTATCATCTCCTGATGATGCTTACTTGCTGCGCAAAACTTTCCACGCCAGAAAAAACACCGTCGAAAGAAAGATTTATTCGACTTGTCCGTTTTCCATATCATCCAGAGAAATTCCTAATTATCATAGGTTCAGAATACGTTGTCAGCTTCATTATGCTAATGACTCCCAAACTTGGTAAAATCTCGCCCAACTTCCGTAAAATATCTCCGGAATTTCACTGGATATAGAGGTCAAAACCATCTCGTTACTTTACTTTTATAGGTCGTAAAAGTTTTCGCACTGTTGAGCAAAGTCCCAAATCAAAGTGCCATTTGGATGGAATTCCGGACGTCGATTTTTATTCCAGTCCTTGGACAGTCCAGATGCTGTGAAATAATCATGTGAAAAAAGTAAAAACGTTTCGTAAAAAGTATTTGTCCAACATTTCATTATAAACCAGGGAACCTCCAGAAGAAAGGAGATATACAACGATTATCGATAAAAACTTCAAAAAAAATTTAATTCCAAATTGATTTCACATAATTGGTAACTTTCTCATTATTGGGAATAGAAATTGTTTATTGTGGGAGCAACTAAATAACAATTCACTATTTGCTGTCATGACAACATATTGTTGATTAGTTTTGTTGCTACTTTTGGTGAGATAGGTAACAATTACAATCAGAGTGAGAGTAAGACTTTCAAAAATTGGAGCCAGAGCCCAAAAACAAAGCATACATGATCCAACACTAGAAAGCGCTGTTTCGACTCACAATTGGTCCCATCGGTGGTGCCAGGCTGGAACACGAGTGCATTGTTGCACTCACCTGATTATCGAAAATAAATTAGTCTCTTCAAGGTTGTCTGTTGCAAAGTTGAGTTTTTTAGGGGCTCTGGTGTCAACTATAGTGTCTTCCAACAAAGACTTCCAAGCTTTGACCATTGATAACGGCCATCTTGTTGAAGCTACGTCTGTCAAATTACTTGTCATTTATTCAGTCTGGTTTGCCACATCACCATGGACGGATACAGCATTCAACAACATGAGGAAATAATAAAATTGTATCATAAAAGTGGGTGTTCTGTGTGGACAACGTACCGCGCAGTAAACCAACACCCATACGTCGACAAAACGCAAGATCTGCCGAAAACATCGCCGCTGTCTGTACGGCGCATTTCCCACTGGACCGATACGATAAGCGATGCAACAGGTGATTTGATAAGCAACTCGATCCTGATTTGACACCGATCAAGCTTGTCGCTCACTTATCCGGCACAGCACAGCACGGCGCTGTCCGTCGCCTGATGGCAACGGGTAGTAGCATCGCCCACTTGTCCAGCTACAACCAGCATACTGAAGGTGCTGTTTGTTCGATTTCAAGGGAAGAAAATAGTCACAAAAAAAATGTTGTAGGTCCATCCCATTAATGAACAGAAGGCAAATCTGGGAGAGTTTCATCATCTTTTCAAGGATCTGAAAGGAGACGAGGAGACATTTTTCCAGTATTTCCGAATGGCTTCAGGCAAATTTTCAGAACTTCTGGATATTCTAGAGCCTGTCTTAACAAGCAACTCAATTTTTCCTCGTTCATTTTCATAGATACCGTCTGACACTGTGCTGTTAACTGATGGAATAGCAAAACAGAAAGACTGAAACTTCCCAGGCACTTTTGGACAAGTTGATGCTGGCAAGCGCTGGCCGGCGACAGACGCTCTTGTCTGTGCCGTACCGGGCTAGTGGGCGGTTGTCCATTCATTTTCATTGTTTCAATCCTATACGTATTTTGACTGGACGGGCCATGCTGTGCTGTGCCGGATAAGAGGGCGATGAGCTTCACTCATAATCGACCATACA